GTGTGTGTGTGTGTGTGTGTGTGTGTGTGTGTGTGTGGGTGGGTGGGTGGGTGGGTGGGTGTGGTTGTGGGTGGATGGGTGTATGTATGTAAGTGTGTGTGTATGTATGTATGTCATTCACGCCTATCGGGAGGGTTCGGTATTTGAAAGGCGCCTGCTACCCACTTCTGAGAGGTGTAGTTATGATATGCTTGTAACTAGCACCGTATAGTTCCGACTCAGTGCTCGTATTGCTCTAATTATTCATATATCTAGTGCTTCGTTGTGTTTCATGGTATATTATATACTCAGATAAAGTATATGCCAATTATATACTCGGATAAAATATATGCCAACTGTGTGGATTTTTTGTGTGTTTCGTTCGCGCATACAACTTTTTGTGTTTCGTTCGCGCATACAACTTTTTGTGTGTCGTCTACGCATTGATAGAAATCCGTATACGGAGCTGAGTGCTAAGCTGGGCATTTTCCGATAGTGCTACTATGTGTGTCCTTGTGTCTATCTCCATGTATCAACAAACCAACTAACTGCGGTCGAGTTCTTTGTACGTACAATCCGTTTGTTATTTCACTGTCTGACTTTTGTTTTGGTGACCTATAATTTGACAGTCCTTCACAGAACTATAGGGTTTGTTTTGCTTCGTTGAAGTTCGTAAACCTCTCGCGTTTCAGAAAGGAATTGCTTTTTTTATCAACACAACGTCGCATCGTTCCCGGAGCATCTCTCTCGTCTCGAAGATACGTTTGTTTCACACGTGCATGATTAATTATAAACAGCATTGTGTCGTAGGTATGGCACAACTTCGCCTTAATTTCCATTCTCTATATACGAATGCGTTCAGATTACATCCTTACTATTGCGTATATCATAAATACGTTTTATTTTCTATTCGAAAGTCTCACTAACCATCTTGCCGCACACACAGAGTAGTAAGACGTTCAAACGCAGTCATGTGCGTACTATGCTCATACCACAATCTGTTGCTCACTCGATATCAATAGCTTTTGCAGCCGAGCCAAAGGGCTGTTAAACATCATAGGTGTCAAATTCGCTGACATGTCACTTGACACTGTCCCGTCAGACACTGTGGCAGATGTCCGCGCGGAAATGAAAAAACTCAGTGGCCAGAGGTAAGGATGTGGAGCTAGCATATGCATAGGAATTGTGAGTAGTAGCTATGTGCAACTTGCTGCAGGCAGAAGCTGCACACATATCAAATTCTATATGATATGAAGCCATACTCATATCGACCACCGCAATGGGAAAAGTCTTCAGACTATGTGCTCGCGTGACTGTGGTTATAGAGACGTTACATGTAATATACCGTGTATATATGTGATATTCAGTGGGCAACATTCAGTGGGTTTCTTGCAACATGTAACCATGCAAGCATTCATTACCATACCATTACTTGGCTCGATCGTCGCATCATATATAAAAGATCTAGTAGTGACCTGACCTGGCCCTTTTCTTTTTGGTTGCAGGACTGTACCCCAAATATTCATCGATCAGAAATCTATAGGCGGGTATGTACGAGTACTTTTGTATCGAGCAATCGTTCTCTGCGTAGTCGGGAAGGGGATATCATAGTGTTTGTCTCATGCCAATGGCTCCATTGTAGTGTGATTGTGGTATTTCTCTACACATTTCTTCTTACTGTGTCAGCGACATATGAAGCACAGATTATATTTTTCGTACATATTTTTATCACCTCCTCCCCTGATGCTTGTACATCCCATTCAGCCACATGGTTCTGTGTCGCAGATTTGAGGTTTAGGAGTTCAATTCTTGCCATGACACAGGTTGTCGTGAAATCGCAAGTGTATTCTGTATCATGAATTTTTTCTGATGGCTTGCATCTGATAAATGATTGAAACGCATGGGGTGTGATCTTCCCATACATACATATATATATATATATATATATGCCTTGTGCTTGTGCTTGTTAGTGTCGCCTGGAATGTCGTGGATTATATGCACTATGTATACATACTACGTTCGCAGCTACTAACTTTCCCCAGGTATAAATGACCAATATCTTTTGATGTGGTAGTTACTTTCTGCCACAGGATAGCTTTCTATTTTAGCTCGAACTGTTTAGGTCTTATCTATTTTGATCAAGTACTTGTGTGGTCAATGTTACACTCTTCGAATTTATCTGTGCGGTTAGTTAAATCGTGTTATCTACTGCGCTTGGTACACAGTTACTCTGAATTACAAGAAGCCAATATGACCGGTGCGTTGCAGGCCATTCTCAATCGGCAGTGAAATGTGGGCCAAGTGTGAGATGCGAAACCTCGCAACGGACAAAGAATCAGTATTCAGTGGAAACTCGCTTTGATGCAGAATCAACACCGCGTATAGCTAGCAGGTTGAAAGTCGTGCTCGTAGTCCTAAAAGTGGGACCGCTTTAACAAGGCACAGGCACAGGTCGTGCTTAGGGTTCTAGGGTTTGCCCTCTACCCTTGTAGGCACAGGCCCGTGCCTAGGGTTTTAGGGTTTACCCCCTACTCATGTAGGCACAGACCCTTGTCTAGGGTTTTAGGGTTTGCCCCTATCCTTGTACGCACAGGCAAGTACATAGGGGGGGAAGGGGGGAATCAAGAGACGATGGCCTGGGAACATGTAATAAAGGTACGACTGAAGGCCACCGACATATCAGAGAACTTAGCCGTATGATAGGCAGCTATTAGAAGAAGAAACAATTAGCAATGAAAATATGGGCGTATGCACGTGGGTCTTTCGCGCGCGGTACGAATACTAGTAATGTGTTAATGCGTTGTAGTACATGCCACAACTGGGATGGTTGTATACTGAAGAGTGGAATTTTGCACTAGTTCTGGATGTCACTGCAAGGCACACGGGTTCTGAGAACCCTTTTGTAACCAAAATGGACATGCTGGTCACCCCCATTAGGACAATAAAACTTTTGGGATGTTAGAGTGCATTGAGAGGCACATCAGGGCTTTGTGTACTACGTGGTGGGCGTGAGGTGTGCGAAAAGTACATTTAACGGTAAAGGCTAAGTTAAAGCAGTGTGAATGTTGAAACTTGTGGTCTGGAGGACTGCGTATGTTTTGCGCAGTCTTCAGTAGAAAGAAGAATACGAAACTATCAACCGCCAGCTATGTAAATATTAATGTCACAGGAGGTCGCGTGGCAAAAACACTCAGAAGTGGGATGTTTTCCAAATTGTATTATTCTATATTATTTTTATTGCTATATAATTATTGTTGTTATTATTATAATACTATTACTTATTATTATACTTTCTTTTTTCTTTTTTTTAATTATTATTCTTCGGGGGGGGGGGGGCTCGGTCATCCCGTGCAGTGGTGGAGGGCTCGTAGTGAAGTAAAGCCCTAAAAAAAAGGCAGAGCAGGAAAAGTGAGAGAGATTGAGTGGTTAAACCCTCCATTTTTATCTCGATTAATCAGGACCGGTAGCCCCCCTGCTATAGATTCAGAATCCACCTGTGGACTAGCGTCATCAACATTCGGTACGAATATGAAGCGAATCTGGTTCGTTACTCTCTTAAAGTCGTTCTACAAACGAACAATCTGACACTATAGAGTATGGAGAGTAACTGAAAGGTACGAGACAACAAGATACAATCGACCTCTCCTCAAGTACGGTTATCTCAGCTAGGAAAAGTCCCTAGGTGAGAGAACCGAACTGAGTCTTTATTTGTGTTTTCATTATACTCAGAATTACTTGAGTGTTTCTCTCTCACGCGGAGTCCCGGTATAGCTTACCGGTTCTACCGCTAATATTTCTGATGACTCCAATATCAGAAATATCCCAATCCTAATTCCAAAACTCAGTATTTGGTTATTCTGGGTTTTGGTATTTGGATTGGCTTTTTGTTAATCTGGTCCCTAGATGCTACAGCCCCCCAGCTTTATGCTTCTTAGCCTGCGTAGCAATAGAAAGTGACATCTTACAGTACTAGATTATCTAGAGGTTGGTGTTTGTATACAGGGAGAAAACTTGTCCCTTAGGGGGCATTAGATGAAAAACCTGCCACCATTAACTATTCTTACATATCACCGATTAATTAAATTTATACTTTAACAGGAGTCCTCTACCACGCTCATCGGAGTCAGTCTTGACCGGTGTTCTCGGTTGATCTCAACTTGGCATAGGAAAACGCTTCCCAACGGTGGCTCTACAGCCGAGTCTGTGGTCTTTGTCCTTTTGGTGTGGGGGTGAAGCAAGCTTCAAGGCGAGAAAATTGGGAGTGTCCCGTGGTATCAGTGAGACTTGCTTAGGTCCCCCGCCTCGTGCTCTTTCTGTGGCTCGCTGATATTTCATCAGTGCTCGTCGTCGCTACGAAATCCCCGTTGCCCTCCTTGCATACTATTTTGTATGGTCCGCCATGTGGTGCTGTTAACTTGTTCATTTCACCTTGATAGCGAAGCATGACAAGGTCCCCTTCCTGGAAGTTTACATACTTCTTTTGGTATTTTCAATCATATGCTGCGCGCATCTTCTCTTGATACTGTGTAACATTATTATCTAATTGTGGCCTGATGGCTTCTTCTAGATTTTGCAGTCGCTCTTCCCAAGATACTGTTGTACTGGGTGCGGTCACTGGCTCATTGTAGTCCGTGAGTTGATTCTGTCTGCGACCAAAGTACACATTAAAGCGCGGTGACTTGTGTCTTCTGGATGCCCATAGATTATGGCCCATCTGTACGAATGGAAGTCGTGAACACCAGTTACCTGAATTCTGTTCAACGAATTTTCGTAGCAGTGGCATTGTAAGATTCGGTCTAATAAAGGCGATTCTAATGCTTAGAATAAATAAACGCGGAAGTAAAATTTAAGTATCGTGTAAATATCGATGTAAATAAACAAAATGAGACGTTTAATAAAGTTAGGTTTGCCTCGTGAAAACAGCGGATCCCTCTTGTTCGTGGAGGTAAAATTAGCGCCCCAGATAGTTAGTATATCTTCATTCCTGAAGCTCGCACACGTTCCGTGCTTCAGCTTGAGGGGGGGGTTGTGGTCAGATATACGATTTAGTATTAGGGTATATTTGTGAATCGGTCATAAACCCAGTTTAGGGTTCTGAATCGATTACGCACATGCGCTAGTTGACCGGATAATGTTCAATAAATAGCTAACGACTCACCTCTGATAAGGGGAGTACGTTGAGATATATTTGTTGACGCGTATTTACCACAAAACTCTCAACTGTACACTCATGACAGACACGGATGTTGCATCCTCCGCCGACTTCCGACCGATAACCTTGACGCAGAGTGTTAGTCGCAATTTTGAGAAGTGCTTCCTACAAATTATCTCCGCTCAATCATCACATATGCCACCCAGGCTAGATTCAAATCACGCTACTCCTGTCATACTCATGCCCCTGCCGCGATGGACTCAGGTTCACAATTCAAGGATTTCTGGAATGATACGTGTCTTGACATCACTAAAGTATACGATAAAGTGGTCCTTCCACGCATGTGGATGCTGTTGCGCCACGCTGGAATGCCAAAAACTGGATTAGTTGACTTCATGCATTTTTCGAGAATGTCCTCACACGGATGACGTATCGTGAGAAACTTTCCTCTTTATTCCATAGAACGAATGGCATACTTCAAGGTTCGATTGTCGGTAGACTCCCTGGCTATTACGCCTGCGCAATTTCGGCCGAAACTATTTCATTCCTACCTCGTTGTAGATGACACGCGCATACAGGCTCCTCAATCTGTTCACCTACAACCCTTGATGAATGGGGTCCCAATCCGGTCTAGAACAATAAATTCTCAAGCCCCGAAAGAGGTCATCGAGGATGCTGCATGCGGTACTGTCTCTCCATACCAAAGGACATCTCATCACGCCAACGCTAGTAGCCCCCCCCCCCCCCCCCCAAACTGCGAACTCTCTGACATTTATTCACAGACTTTCAAACACTTAGGATTTCGACTGTCCCAGGGTATACCGGGTATTGACTTGTAAAACCCATGAACCACCATGTGGCGGCACAACTTTAGGCTATAGTTTCTTTCCGGGTGTCTGGGTTTCATGGATGCAGCTGACGCCATCCGCGAATTTGGTTGGCAATATTCAAGACATTCATTCTTTCAACTGCCACCTATGGTCTGAACATCATTGCATGTTGTTGGAGCGGTACAACTCAACACTAAACCAAGTAGCAGCCATCATATCAGGCACTGCATTTCCAAAACTGCCATACCGGCACATACAGCTCCGTCCCTTCTGTAGTTTACTTCCAGCACGCCAATTTTTGGAATACCTTGGTGGCTGCCTGGGACCACATCTTGGCTCGATTAATAGCACAAACCTACTCGCTTTATTTATGAGACCCGCTTGGATATGTAACAGATCTCCGGTCAAATTCCCGTTCAATATTTACGCTTATCTAGAATCGAGGGGCGGATATACACCTTAACACAAAGAACTCCGTAAGCTCCGCGAGGACATCCGACGTATTACTACGCGATGCACTATGGAGATAGCAGGGAAGGATAGCCGCCAATAAAACTATAAGGGGAGAACTTCTCATCTCGGATCGTGACAAGCCCATTGCCGTGGACACACCCCAATTCGCCATTGTGCCATGATAGCAACCAACACGTTCCTGTTCAAATGGCTTGACTATAGTACTGGTGGATGACTCTATCCAGTGGGTCTCGGAGAAACGACTTCTACTTCCAGCCACTTTGTTTGTATCACGAAGTAATAAGTCGGTGGGCCCTGACCTACCACTAATTGAACCGAACTTACTACAGTGGCTACAAAATGGACAAGGCTACCACGGCATATGGATTCTTCGCGAACATCTCAGGAGCTCCCTTCTGCACAGCGGACACCAATTTACCCTCATTCGGTACTCCCCATACCCCGTCTCATTACTCTGCTGAAGTACTACTCCCAGATTTCGGTACAGACCAAATCTTCGAGACTTCTGGTACCGCATATGATACTTCACGTTATGGCTAACCAGGATATTCCAAATACATCAGTTGTGGGGTGTGATAACGGGTAGCCTCCAATTTTGCTTCAAAACTGAATTGCGGATGACAACCTCACCTTTTTTGGTATCATTTTCAAAAAACCTCAGACTGTCTCACTCTAGATTACCACTACGAGTGTGGGCCGGCTTTATTCTACACAATGGTATACGAGTTTTGATTCCCACCCAATGGTGGAAGTGTACTGTAGCCCCGAGATTCTCGCAGCAGTTCGACAATCTTAACTTCCTTCGATCTTCCCATAACCTCTCCAATGAATACGAAGCCGGATGATGCATGTAGACTTAATAATGTAG